TCAGAAAGAGGGGTACAATTTACCACAAAATTTTGGAGGGAATTTCTGAAATCCATTGGCTCCTCTCAAGGGTTATCCTCAGCTTTCCATCCTACTTGCAATGGAGCAGCAGAGAGGGCTAACACCATGATTGAAGCTATTAGCATTATTAGCATTAGATGCTATGTAAATTATCAACAAGAAACTTGGGCTGAGTTATTACCTTTTGCAGAGGTTGCTTACAATAATGCAGTACATAGCAGCACGTGATTGACTCCATTCCAAATCAACACTGGAATGGATTTTGTCCCGATGCCAGAGTTACCTAGACAACCTCCCTCATCCATGTCCCTGACAGAATGGATGAACTCATTAAAAAAAGGGTGGGAAGATACAAAAAAGGTTTTGAATGAAGCTGCAAAAAGTTATAAAAAACAGGCAGATAAACATAGATCCCTTCAACCGCCTTTTAAAGTAGGGGACAAAGTATAGTTGTCAACCAAGTATCTTAGGTTGAAACTGCCCAGTAAGAAGCTGGGTCCAAAATTCTTGGGTCTGTTCCCAATTTCAAAGATAATCAATCCGGTCACTGTCCAATTACGTCTTCCTAGACTATTGGAGAAAATTCATCCAGTGTTCCATTGTAGTTTACTAAAACCAACTACTACATCAATGATAAGACCACTACCACTCACTCCCCCTAAACTGCTGACAGTACATGGGGAAACACATTATGAGATTCAAAAAATTCTCAATTCTAGATTATACCATGGCCGATTGCAATATTTGGTCCTATGGAAAGAATACCCCCTTTCAGATGCTAGTTGGGTAAAGAGTTGGAATGTTCATGCTGATGAAATGGTCAACCAATTCCATGAGGATTTTCCCCACAAACCAAAAGGTCCTCATGGGGAAGGGAGAGGGGGTTAAGGACAATGTATTAACCCCTATATGTGTGGTTTTTTTCTTTTCTTTTAAGAGGAAGAGTTTTCAAGGGGGGAAGCCTGTCAGCTTTGAAATTCAGCTGCCACATATTTTTTTAGAGAGTTAGAGGAGTTGAAAAGTTCAAGGTTATTCTGTGTATTGTATTAAGAATTTCCTATTGCAGTTAATTGGTTCTCACGATTTATGAAGTGTAGAAGTGGGAGGAGAGAAGGTGGATTCTGTGTAACGCACAAAAAAGTTTTCACTTGGGAAATTGCTTTTGAACATGCCAGATCTGTTCCTAATAAATCAGTTGGAGAGATAACATCTTGGAGTGATTGATAACATCTTGGAGTACTTTCTGGATGCTTGACATAATTGAAAAAGTTGTCCCCTTTAGTTGTCAATTCAAGCTTGCCACTTATTTACCTTATACATTCCTTCAATTTATTCCCTTTAATTCATTATAAAAATTTACCATAGTGTAATCATTTTTAATTACCACATTCTACATTACTAACAATATTCTCCTAACTACTATACATCACATATGCATATATATTTTAAGTCAGATTCCACATGGTATTCTTTTTCTCAATCACCTTATAAATCATGTATATATTCCAAAGATATTAATCTATTCAATTAATTGTAAAAACTGATATTAATCTTTCCATTACAATTCTCATAATTCATTTTAACTTTATTCATTGCTTTATTAAATATCAATTAATATTCTTATAATAAATTCCCATTTCTATTTCAATAAAATCTATATCCTGTTTAACAATAATCTTAAAGAAAAAAAATCAGTTCCACTCATCTATTTTCAAGTCCATATTCTTATATAACACAACAAATTACCTTGCAGATCTCCCTCCCTATTCTTCTACCCATTTTCTCTCATCCTCCTGACTATATAATTTCTTTTCATTCTTGTTTGCTTTCTGCCTCCCTTCATTTTCTGGTCCTTTCTCTTAATTCTCCTCTTTTTCCTTTATTATTTATCTCCATTTCTTATTCCAGTTATTTATTTTGTCCCCCTCCCTTTCCCAATCTTTCCCTTGTAGTTCCCTCTTCTGCTGTTTCCTTTTCCTTTGTTTAGTTTTCCAAGTTAATTAAAGAGTTAATTAAAAACCAAGATAATTAAAGAGTTCCCCTTTAATTATCACATCAAACCTCAAATGTTTAACTTTAATTCTCCCCCCCTTCCCCGTTTTAATGTTCATTGTTCCACTTATTCTTTAAAGCTGGTTTCAACTTTCCCCCCCTCTGGTTTTCTTTGTTTTTCTTCAATCTGAATTGCAATTTCTAATTTTTGTAGCATAATACTGTAGATTTCCATGCTTTCTTTCATCATTTCCTTCATATCTTGTAGTTCCAGTCTCATTTCCTCATATAATTCTCCTATTTTGTAAGCTTCTCCTTTTCCCCCCTCCTTCTTTGATAATTATATCCAATCCAAATGTCCAGTAGTTTATTTCAACCAGCATCTTGTATATTTAATTTCAGGAATCAATGTCCATAAGTCTTTATTTCCAAGTTCCTTCTGTTAATTTCTTTTTCCCAAAGTCACCAAATAATCCAAGGCAATTTCTTCACATATCTTTTTCCCTTTTAGTATTCTAGTATTTCACTTTTCAGTGTTTTTATTTTATTATAGTGGAGTTCCTCTTATTTCCTTTTAAGTTTCAATTTTAGAAAAACCAAGCACTTTTCAAAGAGACACTGAAATTTTTCCAGGTGGTGCTCTCAGTTCTGTTTCCATGTTCCACCTTTTTTTACACTTTTCCCATTTTAAACTTTATTACTTTCACTAATTCCCGTTATTAGCTACTATTTCTTTTTAACATGTTCAATTCCAGCATTTACTTATGCCTATTTAGTGCCAAAAGTCCAATAATTATCCTGTTTAATTTCCAAGCCTTTTGTAATCAGATATTTTCCTGTAACTTTTCCATCTCAAATTAATTCATTTCAATTTTCAAAGCTAATTTCATAAGTTCAAATTTTCTTCTCACTCTCTCTGGTTGCTGCTTTTACACACTTTCATCAAAAATAGTTCTGTATTTCTTAATTCTGGGGTACCTTAATGTCCATGCCTGGTTCACACACTGCTCACAACTTCACTGCTCTAGCACAATCTTAGTTTCCCAGATTGCTTCCCGTTTTCATGGTGGCCATTTTACACCACCGCTGCAACTTGTCTTTGGGGGAATTTATCTTGTCAGGGAGGGGAGATGCAGCTCCCCTCAACCCTCCAAGCAGTCTCCCTTTCTTGACCACCCCTCCTTGGTGGTTCCAGTCACAGTTGGGACCCTCCAACAAGCAAGCACAGAGTGAAACCATGCATGATTGTGGAATCCACTCCAACATGACAGAAGAACAACCAGAAGTCAGAAATTATATACAATATTAAGATCACTTTTTACATCAACGTCTATCATGACATCAAAGATACATTGTGAATCAATTATTCATTAACTAATTAACATATGAGACTTGGAATTTTAAAAATGTGCTGTGTCATTCAAAAATGACCATTCTCAGTACAGCACATCTCACTACTTCACTTATCTCTGGTAAGATCTGAGGGAACTTTTGACCCAACACCATCCAAAGAGTTTCAGAGCTTGGGAGGATTTGTGAGACATGTTCAGCATTTTTCTTAACATTGCCTCTATAACTTACTGTCCTCTCCCTTTCTAAAATCAAATTGAAAGGTTACGTTAATTCCAAAATAAATTAGAGCAGATGAAATATTTGTAAAATTCTGTTTTCACTTTGTCATTATGGGATACTGAGTGTAGATTAATGAGAAAAAAATGAATTTTAACAAATATAGAATCAGATTGCAGCAGAGGTGGTATTCAACAGGTTCTGACCAGTTCTGGAGAACCGGTAGCAGAAATTTTGAGTAGTTCAGAGAACCAGCAAATACCACCTCTGACTGGCCCACCCCCATCTATTCTCTGCCTCCTAAGTCCCAGCTGTTTGGCTGGGTCTTCTTTTGTTGTTCTGCACAGGAGAATGGAGCTAGAAAGCAGGTTAGTTGGGTGGGGAGGGAATTGGATTTTGCAGTAACCTTTCCCTAGGAGTGGGGAGGAAATGGAGATTTTACAGTATCCTTCTCCTGCCACATCCACCAAGCTGCCCCCAACAAGCCACGTCATGCCCACCAAGCCATGCCCATAGAGCCAGTAGTAAAAAAATTAAAATCCCACCACTGGGTTGCAGCATAACAAAATTGACAAAAGTAAAGAACATCTGAATACTTGTCCTGTAAGCCACCTTGAGTTGCCATGTAAAAGTAGTTGGAAATATAAATTTTCCAAATAAATAAATAATAAATACATTTTAAAAAGAGAGAAAGAAGGTATATATAGTGTAAACATCAGGAAATATTACATCAATATGACTCAAGGATAATCACAGCTGAATAAATCCTACCAATCCAAACATTGGGAAAACTATATTAAATCCAAACATATTTCTGAAATTTCCAACAAAACAAAACAAACCCTTTCTCAGAATCCAAGTAACAAATTCAGATTATTTTTAGTAAACAAAAGGAACATTAATTAAAAATCTGCTGTTTAACAGTTCAGTATCAGGTAGATATACAAGAGTTGGAAGAATGCCCTGGAATCTATGAGTCAAAGTAACTATTATACTCTTGTTATCCACATTTATAATGCATGTATAATTGGAACACCCAGTGGAGTTCAGAAATTTCCCCTAAAATAAAAGAAATTTAAAAAATTGTTTCAATTAAAATAGGACAGAAATACATAATATTTTTCATACCATTCTACTAACAGATCTAGGGTCTTAGCCAATTGCATTAATTTAAAGTAGAGATCATTTCTAAAATCAAAACTAGTAAAATAAAATTAATAACCTGTCCTGGATTAAATAGTCTAAACTTTACCTTTTGTTAAAAGGAGAGGGAATTTCTCTCATCATCTGTGATGTTGTGTTTAATTTTTCAAAATAGTAAAAAAATGGGTGCCTTATAAAAAAAAGAGGAGGGATGAAGCTCTTTGTATTTTATACACCTTTAAAAAAAATGCTTTAAAGAAAAAAAATTCTCTTACCCATCAGAAGAGAGAGGAGGGCCAGACTTTCAATCCCAAGAAATCTCACCATCTTTGTTTATGAATCTGTCTTGGTTTAAGTCAAGTACTAAAAGTGAACAGGTAGATGAAGCATAAAATCATATAAATAACTGTCAACTGTACTCTGACCTCCTTTTATAAACTTTATACTCCCTATGTAACTCCTCCTAGCATCTTAAAGGAAACAGTTTGTTTATTTTGGTTAAATAATGTATTTGAGATCCACTTCTCCAAGGGGACTTAGAGTTACTAATTTACTCTTTCCCAGGGTAGGGTGGAGACTTTTTAATTTAATTTAAAGAAAGGGGTAGGACTGTAAGAACCCAGATAGATCAAAGACCAATCAGGCATTTACAAAGAGCTTAAAAGGAGTACACAAAGGCAACTATGTTATGCGACTGTTCATTCCATAATGGCCATCTTTCCAAAGAATACTGTATTTGAGCATAGTGTGTGCATTTAAGTTTTCTTTACAAATTTTTAGGAAGGTCCATGTCCTATTGACCCCACGATTGGAGCTTCTGGATATAGTCTAATGATTGTGGAGGGCACCATATCTGTAAAAGATCACAGGTCTGTTCTTGAAAAAAAGTTTTGCCTAATATCTATAGCTCATTTCTAGGTCATCTATTCCCCAATTAACCTCTTTTTATCTGCTTTTTATTATTATTATTATCAAAGAACTTGCTAAATATAATGGTCAAGGTACCAGATTAGGAACAGGAAGACTGTGAGTTCTAGTTCTACCTCTGTACAAAGCAGCTCAATGACCTTCAGATAGGTGCACAGTCTCTCTCGGCCCTAGGAAGAAGGCAAAGACATTATATTTCCAAAATCTTGCCAAGAAATCTTGAGGGACTAGTTCAGGCAACTCCAGGAGTCAACACTGATTCAAAGGCACACCTTTCTCCAATCCCCCAAAAGCCAATCTACCTTTATAGTGATTATATAAATTAGATAAACAAACAAACATTATTTCCCATCATCTGGAAGAAAGTTATAATATAAACCCAGTTCGGGTATTTGTTCGGGTATTTTCCCACGTCTAGCCAAATACCATACATATATATATACGTGTGTGTGTGTGTGTGTGTGTGTGTGTGTGTGTGGTATTCAGTTTTGTTCGGGTATTTTCCCACATCATTATAGTTGTGCTTTTAAAGTTGTAGTAACGTTTTGGCAGAATCTCATCTGCCATCATCAGTCTTCTGAATAGTGTTCGTCTGTGAGTCAGACTTTCACAGATGTTTCTGTTTTAAATTTGGTGCTAGCCTACTGCTGTGCCAGAATGTTTTTTTCTTCATCCTGATTGGTTGGGAGTCTTGGTCTTTGTTTATTGTCTTGGAGTTTGCTGTGTTCTGCTTGATTGGTGTTTCTAATATCTCCTGTCTGTTTTGTAGCTTTTTTTTGTCTTGATTGGCTGGCAACATAGTGTTTCCTGTATTGGAGGCTTTTAGTGTGGCTTGGCTCCGAGTAAACGGACGGCTATCATTTATTAGGAAGCTAGGTTTCATCTGGATGCCTGGTTGGGGTGTGTGTTGTGCCTGGCTGGGGTATATTAAATACTGATGAAGCTGATAGAATAAGACACCAAGTCACTAACATCCTATGCACAAGCAAACCACCCAAAAGCAACTTGCACAAAGAGGAACTAAAAGCCCTGCAAGCCCTAAGGAATGACAGCAGTATAATCATACTTCCAGCAGATAAAGGTAATGCCACAGTAGTAATGGATAGAAAAGACTATGAAACAAAATTGACAGACCTACTCCAAGACTCCATATACAAACTCGTAAACACAGACCCAACCACATATCTGGAAAAAATAACCAAGAAGAAAATTATAACCAGCCACATGAGCAAAGAGATCCAACAGACAATCATCCCAAGAGAAAAATCTTCCAGATGCCCCAAACTATACAGTCTCCCAAAAATACACAAAGAAGGCATACCTCTCAGACCCATAGTCAGCTCCAGAGGAGCACCACTACAAAACCTAGCCAAATACCTAGCAGAGCAGCTACAGCCCCATGCTGAAGCAGCAGATTCACATGTCCAAAACTCATACCACCTCTTGGAAATGATCAAAGATCTACACGTGGAACAAGAAGATCTGCTTGTAAGTTTCCACATGGTTTCACTATTCACTCAAGTCCCAAAAAAAGAAACTCTTAAAATCATCAAAAAAAAACACCAACCACCCAAACACCTCATGGAACTAACAGAACACTGCTTAACCAACACATATTTCATATACAAATGACAAAGATACAACCAAATTAAAGGAGCCCCTATGGGATCACCACTGTCACCTGTCATGCAAACCTGTTCATGGAAGAATTCGAATCCAGAGCCCTGGCCAATGCCATCCACAAACCCAAACTATGGTTAAGATACATCGATGACACATTTGTGATTTGGCCCCATGGAAAAGAAAACCTAAACAATTTCCTAACACACCTAAACAGCACACACCCCAAAATCAAGTTCACCATGGAAACGGAAACAAACAAACAACTACCATTCCTAGATGTACTAATCTACAAAAAAACAGATGGCACACTAGGACACACCATATACCAGAAGAAAACACACACTAACCACTATCTCAACGCCCAATCCCACCACCACCCAGCACAGATAAACTCTGTGGCCAAAACACTAATAGCCAGAACCCTAACCCTAACCCTAACCAAACGCCTGGCAGACAACACACACATAAAGACTGAACTATGCACCCTGACTAAAGTACTGACAGCCAACGGCTTCCACAAAAGTAAAATCACTGGCTTGATCCACAAAAACACACTGAGACATAATGGAGACCTAGAAGATGAACAGACCTATGGAACAGCTGTCCTGCCCTACATAAGAGGTATTACAGACAAAATCAGTAAGCACCTGGACACAAACAGACTCCCCCTGATACCTCCAGCTCAAACATACCCCAACCAGGCACCCAGATGAAACCTAGCTTCCCAATAAATGATAGCTGTCCATTTACTTGGAGCCAAGCCGCACTAAAAGCCTCCAATACAGGAAACACTATGTTGCCAGCCAATCAAGACAAAAAAAGCTACAAAACAGACAGGAGATATTAGAAACACCAATCAAGCAGAACACAGCAAACTCCAAGACAGACCAAGACTCCCAACCAATCAGGATGAAGAAAAAAACATTCTGGCACAGCAGTAGGCTAGCACCAAATTTAAAACAGAAACATCTGTGAAAGTATGACTCACAGTCGAACAGTATACAGAAGCCTGATGATGGAAGATGAGATTCTGCCGAAACGTTGCTACAACTTTAAAAGCACAACTATAATGACATGGGATTCAGGCTGGTGCTTTTGGCTTTGTGCTTGAGCAAGCAAAGTGTGATCAGAACTGCTGTCTCCCTATATATACTGGTGGGGAGTTGGCTGTGTTGCCATTTCTTGATTGGTTGAAGGAGTTGATATTTGCAGATTGGCTGGCTTTTTCATAAGAACATGTGTGGCTGAGGTATTGGCTGTGTGTCTATCAGCCACCTGTGTTGTAAAGACCTGGGTAATGGGCTGTGTGATGACTTTCTGAGTTCTATTGTTTTGACATCCTGGGTCTTGTACCGTAATCTCCTGGGTCATAATGACCTGGGTCATGGGCTGTGTGATGACCTTCTGAGTTCTATTGTTGTGACATCCTGGGTCTTGTGTTATAATCTCCTGGGTTGTTGGCTGTGTTGCAACATCCTGAGGTTTTGTGGTGTAACCTCCTGAGTTCTGTGATGTGATATCCTGAAGGGTGGCTGTGATGTGATGTTCTGGGTTTTGGTTTGGCTCTGAGTTTGAGGCCTAGATATGTGTTCATGGCATGTGTCCGTTTGCTTGGTTTGGGGGTCAAGGTGTGTGGCAGCTGGTGATGCAGCCATGGTCTGGTTTCTGGACAGTGGTTGTCTTTCATCTATGGGATGGGTTTCGGTTTGAGCCTGGTAAGGGAGAACGGTGGTGGTGTCATGTCATGTGTTGGTTTTCATATGTCATATTCTCCTCTACATTCTGCTATTGGTATCTTATGATTATATTACTTTGTTGTTTTTATGCATATTGAAAATTTATGCACCAAAGACAAACAAAATAAAATTGGCCAGGTATGAATATTCTATTCTAAAATACATCTGATGCATTTTTATTCATTAAAGCATTTCCTCCCTCCCTCCCTCCCATCTTAAAACAAGCAAAAAAATACATTAAGAATTAAATGTTTTGTAATTCCTGAACACTCAAAAAAAATAAAATTAAAAAACACACATAAAGATAGGGAGGGGGGGGAGTACAACCCATAGGAAAAATTATAAAAAGGAGTGTAGTCACCACCAGGTGGCAATGTTAACACAATGTTTTCATTTTCTTGCACATGCACAAACGTTTATTTAATATGTAGATTTTCTATTGGTCTAATATGTAATTCTTATATATTTTTGAATGTCTTTTGGGTTCTCTTATGATCCAGTTGTCCAACTGGACAACTCTTAGATGGAAATAGAGAGTTATTTTTGCTACCTTCTTGGTATTCAGTGGTAACTTCATTTTTGCAACCAAACTATGCAGGGCCTGCTATAAAGACTTTCACTGACCTGCTTAGGCATCAGGGTAGGTGCAGTCTATCTATGTATTTTGCTTAACAAGATGGTCCTTAATTAACGAAGTGGTAAAAGCCAATGACGTTGACATTGGGATCCCTATTGGATGAAGGGGACTGGCTTACCACTTCCATAATATCACATCTCTCTCCCTCTCTCTCTCTCTCTCTCTCTCCCACTCCCTCCCTCCAAGTATTAGGTCAACAAGTCAAACTCAACTCAAAGGAGACTGTGGAAAAGAAAAAAAGCACCATTCTTACATTGAGCACAAGGGTGGGACATTTTATATATCTCCAAAATAATTGAAACCAAACTTCTAGTAATGCCAGCATCCATCACCAAGTCTGGAGGATGCTGACAAATGTAGTTCCAGACCAGCTTGGGGGCCATCA